CTTTCTGAGAGTGGAACCTGGTTGTAATGGCCGGTAAAGGTCCCACTCTAACACTCACTAACTAGTTATAACCCCATTCTAACCGTCACCTCCTAACTAACTAGTTAATCCTAACCCCTTACCTAATAGGGGTCTGTGTGAGAACGTGCGTGAGAACGTGCGTGTGGGCTAGATGAGGTGGAGTTGAGCGTAGTTTAAAACTGGGCCAACTTTTTAACAACCATCGTCAACTGTGCCCATCACTAGAATTGAATATATATACACAGAGATTGGCTGATTGCAGTTGGAAAAGCGCCTGTAAATCTTTTATAAGTGTATTGGTAACTTACAAAATAACTGGTTTGGTTAACTATATTCAATAACTTAACCAGAAAACCAATCAAATAACTAACTATGATAATTTTAAAAAATTTATTTTTGAATCACTCCTTACCACGTAAAACTGAGCAGTCTTAAATTGGTTAAAAAATATCATAAATAGGGACTGATAATTACACCGCGTACCTGGCTAGTTACACCTGCTAAAATGTCTACTTTTCATACGGAATAGTGGATACACAACTTTCGTGTTCAAAATAGCTTGAATGGATCGTGAGAAGCTTCTCGTTGCTGCTCACAATTTGAAGTTGTAGTTACGCAGATGGAAATTTTTATATAATATTGAAATCTGATGGGGGTGGGAGGTTGGTTTATTGTAACTATCTACCAGGCGCAGCACTTCACAAATAGCCTTCTAGCGAGCGATAGGATGCCAACAAAATCTATATAAAAAAGATGTTATCATTCATCACCTTACAGAGCTAGATCATCTCGATTCGATCTTGATCTTATCATTAATGAGAAAAAACAATTTTAACACTGTATATAATAAATTCATTATCGAACAATGACGAGCAGTGAGTATCCAGCTGATACATACCTAGCTAGCGAGAAATATCTACTTGAATAGATTTCAGGTATCTATTTCATAAGCAATCAATTAAATGTCGATAGATAACTAGATATCTAGTTAGTGTTGCTAGATAAATTATTAGATATCCAGCTGGTAGGAATCTAGATAGCTAGCAATATCTAATTCTATAGGAATCAATTGGATATCAAGTGGGTAGGCAGCTAGATAGATAGAGATCTGATGAATACACCATTGAGAACATTCAATCTCTATCAAAATGCTAGTTATTTTATATGTAACGTTGTTGTATAACTACACTATTCCTTTCAAAAATAAACATTTTAAGCGGCGATGTAAGTATCAGCCCCCTCTCAAAATAATTTTGCATTCTTTCATCCCATCCTACCAGGTTCCATGGAAACGGACCGTGGGATTTCAAGTAGAGAACGGTATGGAAATAAGGTAGAAGAATTACTTCATGATTACACTTTTATTAAGTCTCTTCCCATCGCATCCTATCTGGTTCCATGGAATGGACCTGGTCTTTGAAGTATGAGATCCGATGAAATCGGGATAGAGATGAGGGTTTTAGAATGTCTGTGACTGCTCACTAGCTCACTAAACATTATCCATAACTAACAACAAAGTAAAAAATCTTTTTGCAGAAGCTTTCTGTATAACGTTTCGTTTGATTTC